CCTTTCAAAGTGGCCAACACCCCCATCCAAAAGAGTACTGAATTTTTACACTACCAAAATACTTTAATACGTTATAACAAGTTACTTGCTTTATATTAAGTCATTATTCTTACTTATAATGGATGATTACTTGTAATTATATTTTTACTGATCTGATAGTATAATTCTTTTTTTTTTACAGTATCACCATATAAAAGTTTAACAACAACAATGCCTTGATCCCAAGTTAGTTGAGATTGACTTTATGAATTTTTGATATCATAAATGCTCTATTTGAGTCTATAATATTCAATAACCGTACTAAAAGATAAGAGTACAGGTTCCCTAATATACACTACTGGTTATATATATATATATACTAATTCTTCTAGTAAGCAGAGGTGAATCTAGGATTTTAATGCGATCGGGGCACCAGTATTCTATTAAGGGTGCCAAGTTATTTGAATTATTCATTTTTAAGGTATATGCATATACATATACTCCTTTTGTCCTAATTTATATGACATTCTTTACTTTTTCATTAGTCCCAATAAGAATGATTCCTTTCGATATTAAGTAACAATTCAACTTTAAATTATTTTTTTACCCTTAATGAAATAATTTCTAGCCACACAAATTTTTATGATTTGTCTTAGACCAAAAGTTTTAAAAAGTTTTATTTATTTTTTAAACTTCATGCGCAATCAAACACCTTCACATAAATTGAGACAGAGGAAATACAAAATTTCTGTCAAAGTTTACATGCCCGATCACCCCTCAGCGTTACACATAGGTCCTCCTATGCTAGTAAGCACTAGTATTCAAGTTGGTTTTATCTATAAGAATTTTCAATTTCCATTATTTTCTATCTTTTGATAGATCTGCCTTGATTCCTAGGTAATAAAGTGAGACTAAAAAGATAAGAAAAAACAGAACACATTATGGACATTGGACAAACATTGATGATTTGAATTTTGACATGTTAACTACTCTCCTACTCACTAGAAACTAGAAACAATGGTAATGAGTAATTCTACTATAGTGAGTAAAAAAAAGGTTGATTACCACATGGCACATGGCCCATTCCCCCGCCAGTCATGGCGAAAATACAACACATTTTGTCAACTTTCAAGAAAGCTAAACCTCCATATAGACAACACAACCCCTCTTTACTAATTAACATCACTCCAAAAATCCCACATTTGAGTTGCATGCTTTCTCATTTTGCTGCAATTAATGGCAAAGAATAAGTCATTTTTGTTATTCTTTATTGTTTTCAGCTTCATTTCTGGGAGTTTATCACAGTATGAGTTGGAGGAACTAACATGGTTAGATGACAGAGATGATGAAATTTCTATGTTTCATAACCAGCATTCTGCTATGAGAAGATGTGATTTAACTTCTGGAAAATGGGTTTATGATCAATCTTACCCTCTTTATGATTCTAGCTGCCCGTATCTTAGTACTGCTGTAACTTGTACCAAGAATGGCCGTCCTGATTCTGACTATGAAAAATGGAGGTGGAAACCTCATGGTTGTGAAATTCCTAGGTAATTGAAGTTATAATGTCTTGTTCTTTTAGGTTTTTTTTTGGCCGAGGGTCTATCGGAAGCATGGCTATCTATCTTTTCAACGCAGGAGTAAGTAAGGTCTGCATATATACTACCCTCCTCAGACCCCACCTGTGAGATTACATTAGATTTCATTGTTGTTGTTGGTATAAGGGTAAAAATTGTCCATGTACTATACAAAATATCTAAATTTTACTAACCATTATATGTTGGCCACATAAGAGGAGCCATGGTGTAACGGGTAAAGTTGTTGTTTTATAACCAGTACGGGTTCGAGCCGTGTAAATAACTTCTTACAGAAATGCAGAGTAAGCCTACGTACAATAGACCCTTGTGGTCCGGCCCTTTCTCGGACCTCGCGCATAGCGGGAGGTTAGTGCACTGGACTGCCCTTTATTATATGTTGGCCACTCATATGCCTTTAGCAAATCGTCTAGTATTTATTCTTGATTCTTACAGAGCTCAATCCAAAAGTATAACAGGAGGTAATTGTAAACCATATTTGAAAGTAGATGGCTAAATTTGAACATTTTACTCGAATTATTTTTGTCATGTAAAATTCACCCTATGCTGGAGCTTTGTTAAAATCAAGGTCAAATACGAGATAATTTGCAAACGATAAGGGTATGAATGCCCCAAAGTAGAGCAAAAAGTTAAGATATTTTGGTGTTTATGACCTTTCTCTTTTGTTGGTTGAATTGTTGGAAATATTCATATGATGGCCTAACTTTCTTGGTTGAATGTAGGTTTAATGCATTGGAATTTCTTGGAAGGATGAGGAAGAAGAGAATAATGCTTGTGGGAGATTCAATAGTGAGGAATCAATGGGAGTCTCTTGTTTGTTTAGTTCAATCTGTTATCCCTATGGCTAGAAAAACAGTAACCTATGTTGGTCCTACTATGGCCTTCCATGCTATGGTGAGAAAGTGTTAGAATCTTGTTTCGCTTATTACGAGAATTTACTTCTAGTTATCCGTCAGTCAGTGTATAGAAGTTAAACTCTTTCGTTATTATTATAACTGGAATTGATATAAAACATGGTACTAAAAATTCAAAACTAGTTAACTGATGGTTGATTGATCTTTTTAAGGATTTTGAGACAACAATAGAATTCTGCTGGGCACCTTTTCTGGTTGAATTGAAAAAAGGACCAGAAAACAAGAGAATATTGCATTTGGACATGATTGAAGAGAATGCAAAGTATTGGAGAGGCGCTGATGTTCTTGTTTTTGATTCAGCTCATTGGTGGACTCACTCCGATAAATATAGTTCGTAAGATATATTTCACTTTCTTTTTTACCCTTTCTCCTCGCTTATGATTCTCACTCATGAGAAGGGGAGACTTGGCGTAACTGATAAAGTTGTTGTCATGTGACCAGGAGACCACGGGTTCGAGCCGTGGAAACAGCCTCTTGCAGAAATGTAGGGTAAGGTTGCGTACAATAGACCCATGTGGTCCGGCCCTTCCCCGGATCCCGCATAGAGGGAGCTTAGTGCACCGGACTGTCCTTTATGATTCTTGAATATGAAGGCAATTTCTTTAATGCAATGCTATGAGGTCATTAACATAGTTTTATTGAACCATTTAATTGAAACTCAGGTGGGACTTAGTAATGGAAGGAAACAGTTTCTATAGAAACATGAACCCAATGGTTGCCTATGAGAAAGGACTAATGACATGGGCTAAATGGGTAGACTTGAATCTTGATCCTCGAAAAACTCGAGTTTTCTTCCGAAGCATGTCGCCTCGACATAACAGGTACTCATCTTGATTACCACATTTCCGCAAAATATGCAGTTCTCTATATATCCCGTTCATAGAATGTGTGAGAAAAATGTTTGATTTCAGATATTTTATTATGATTCGTATAATATTGGTCTGAGATGAACTTAAATTGAGCAAGACATGGTCAGTGAGGATTCATATAGTCGACCCCTATTTGCTTGAGACTGAGGTTTAGTTGTTGTTGTTGCACTATGATTTGTTAGGGAAAATGGATGGAAATGCTTTAATCAGAGGGAGCCATTGGAATTCTTTAGTCACCCTCATGTTCCGGAACCACTGCTGGTGCTAAAAGAAGTGCTAAGAAGGATGAGTTTTCCGGTATCTTTCCAGGATATAACGACAATGACAGCTCTTCGTAGAGACGGGCATCCTTCTGTTTATAGTAAGTTCGTAAGCCAAACGGGTAAGCAGCACTTAGGAGACTATAAATCTGATTGTAGCCATTGGTGTCTTCCCGGAGTACCTGATACCTGGAACGAAATGCTGAACGCCATGCTCTAATTAGTAAAATGTACTATCGATTTAGTTTAGGAGGTCATCATTGAGATGACTTGTTTTTCAATGTTGAGTTCTCTTCCCTTTATATTTTAGCCTGGTGTTTTCTAGCACTTACTTCAGTGCTGAGTGTTTGATGTAAACAACTGATGCTTCTGAATGCGCATAACTGTGTTAGTTCTTGAAGTCTAAGCAGTTTCATATGTCCAAATTAATGAAATGAGAGGGATTTGCGTTCTTAATTCGTACTATAAAAATATTTGGCAAAATGACACTTTATAGCCACTCTTACATAATAGCCGAAAAATGTATATTTTTGTATAAATTTTATACACTTTTGTGGTTACTCGATGTAAATAGTTTCTGCCGCAGGCTAAAAGTGATCTTTCCCCTAAATATTTTTTTGTCATCTCTTCATTTGTGGAGTAAGCTTTAACAGCTTAAACATTGATCAAATGATGGTGTTTATCAATATGACAGCAGCATGCTTGCCTTTTACACTTTAGCTTTTGCCTTATAGCAATGGTCCTTCTCTTACTTTTTCCACATTCTGATGTAGACAATGTTATGATCAAAAGAAGAACTATATCTCTGACTAGAAGACAACAAAATACAACCTATTACAATACTTCATGTATTGCTAGAGAATTCAACCTATTACTGAGCATTTGAAAGCCCTTTAAGCCCTGATTTAGCCTATGTTGCACAGTTGTCGGATCCTTCAAAAGTGTACCACCTTTGGAGGATCCGACGCGCCATTGACATTTTCGGAGAGTCCGAACAACATAGGATTTAGTTGTATGTTAAATACTAAGTGCGTTCTAAAAGTATGATGACAACAACAAACCTAGTGATTCCCACAAGTGGGGTTTGGGGAGTGTAAGATGTATGCAACCTTACCCCTACCCTGGAAAGGCAGAGAGGTTGTCCGATATACCCTCGGTTGGAATAAGAATGAAATGCCTAAAATTCTCGCTCTTTTCTGCAGTCTTTTAAAACAGTTTTACTAAACTAACTAATTAGAAGAGACATTGTTAGCCTAGATACAAAACATAAATATTAGCTTCTTCGCCAACAGAAGTTAAAGAAACCTAAAAGTTTTACTAATTCTCAGTATTCTCATGTTGCAACCCTTAAAAGTTAAAAGTGTGCAGCAGATTTTTTGGAACTATTGTAATTTAGTTGCATTATTGAATAAAGAAAAAAAGAGACAAATAACAGAAACTATAACTTTCCTATAATCTATCCCAGCTATTGAGGAACAAACTTCTTCCTTAATTTAGCAATCTCCTTATCATTCAATCCAAATGCCTTTATCAAAAGCTCCTCTTTAATTCCTGTTCCAAAAATAGCAGTTGGGATTTTCACCAATCCAGGATTTTGGCTGTTAAAACTTCCCAAAATAGCAGCTGGGGTATCACCAACATTCATTTGGAAGTGAACTAAACCTTTTGGAAACACCATCACTTCTCCTTTCTCAATAACCTTAGCAAAAACTCGGTTTCCTGAATCAACAAACCCCGAATAAATCTTCCCCTCGAGCACGAATGCAGTTTCAGTGGCCCTCGGATGAAAATGTGGCACGTTGACACCATCAACGTCAAAATCAGCGCGCACAAATGACATGCCTAATGTGTTCAGTCCAGGAAAGACAGTGGAGCTAACTGGAATGGATGAAAATCCAGTATGTTTAAAGTTCCCTGGATCTTTAATACCTGAATAGATAAAATCTTCGACTGTGACCAACGATGAATTCTTGCAAGAAAGGAAGATTGAAGAGAATTCTGCCCTTGGTATGCAGTAGTCATGAACTGGATCAGGATCATATGCTAGGACAAGATAGCTCTGAAGAAAAATAACTAGAAAAACTATCATTTGAGGAGGAATCATGGTGTAGGATCAACACTAAAGAATGAAAAAGGTGGAAATTTCAACCCTGAGTAATGTAGACATATAGAAGTATATAATAGTAAGAAAAAAGAATGAAACCGATTGAATGATTCTATTCAAAAACTGGCCTACTGTTATGAAATATATATATATATGGAAATGTTTTCTTTTTATAGGAGTAATTATTGAGGAAATAATGATGTGGTGCTACACAAGCAAGGCTTTGCTTGAGAACTAAGCTAAGAAGGATTAGTTAGTCACAACACCAATGGCTGCAGCAGACAGTGATTTGCCATGCTTCTGCTGTTGTCTTCTTGCAAGATAAATGGCAAAAAGTGATGATTCACTCTGATAATCTTTATTTAAAATAAGGTCCCCAGGGAAAGGAAAAAGGTATAGGAACTATATTATTCTTAAATCAAAAGACAAGTGAAAATAATGTAGCCATATTTTCACATCTAACCACCCCAAAAGGCAAAGAAAATGATAACATTGACAACCCCACATGATGACAGCATTCTCTTTCTCTTTTTTTTTCTTTGTGTACTAGTGCTGTCTGGCTAGCTTGTACAGACCTTAATTGTTTCACTGTATATTTATTCAGATATAAATATTGAATAACTCTACCCATAAAAACTTGATCATATGATGGTAGCGTCCTTGTGCTCCTTTTATCAAATAGCTAAGGGGACCAAAGTAATTGTTCAGAATTTCTGGTAGTGGACTATATCATCACCAGTACTAACAACTCTATAATGGTTTAGGTGGATACAATTCCACCACTTCCCCCTCCAAATTCCTTCCACCTAGCTAGTCACTTTTTGACCTTTTTTTGATTTTTTTTCTCCCTTTATCAGGTTTAGCACATGGTGCTAACTCGTCATACTAGTAAAAACTTGTCATTTACGGTGAGACTACGCTGTAACAGGGGCGAAATCAATTTTTGCTAAGGATGGTCTGTCGAGATATTATGAAAAATTACACTACATATATAAGTAAAATATTAAATTTTAGATATATATAATATATATGAAATATCCTTTGTTGGATTTTTTTTAACTTCTTTCAAATCTGAACACCCTTCAAAAAATTCTGGCTTTGCCACTGCGCTGTAAGGTTCTTGATTGATTGATCTTGTTGTGGTTGATGCCTTCTGCAATGTAAATGTCATCTAAGTTATTAGTTTCCACTTAGATGCCTTAGAAGTTACGTTCCAGCAGATTCAGACTATGTTGCCTTAGATGACATTTGGACTATACCCGCTTTTTGGGTCACGTTTTAACTTGTGCCCGCTTTGCAGAAAAAATTGCAAATGTATCCATTTAACTTCAGTATACGGGGCTGAAGTAGCAAAGGCAATCACGCAAAACTTCAGCATTCTAGTAGACGGGCCTGAAGTAGCAAAGCCAGTGCTGAAGTTTTTTTGTCCTGGATAAGGTGCTGAAGTTATTTAGTTCATTTTTAAAAACTTCAGCACTAAAATAACTGAAGTTTTTTTGTCCTGAATTCGTTAGTTTTGTCATAAAGCTTTTTCAAAAACTTCAGCAGAAGATGTTGAATTTATTTAGTTCATTTGTAAAAACTCCAGCACTAATAAGTTGAATTTTTTTTTGTCCTGGATAAGCTTTTTCAAAAACTTTCAGCAGAGATGCTAAAGTTATTAGTTCAATTGTAAAAACTTCAGCACTATATAAGCTAAAGTTGAATCCATAAGATCATAAGCAAAAACTTAAATCCCAGTATTTCCAAGTGAAGTAGCAGCCAGCTCAAGATGAAAAAGGAGACAATAATTACATGCGACTAAAATAAGTTTAATACCAGTTCAATATCTTCCCACGAATCTGACAGAATTAGTCTATTCAAAACAAGAAGTAATGGGTCAATTTCCGTATAGTTCATCATAAATGTAAAACAGTATTGCGAGAGATTAAAAAAATACGGATTGTTTGTCTGCTTGCCTAGTCGAGGTAGAAAGTTATATTCTTTTATTCTTTGCTGTTTGATTTCTTTGTTCAGGTTGCAGTAAAAGCGAAATTAATCATAGTGTCTTTAGTTGTTAATAGAAGAGAAGAAAACGAAAGAGGAGGAGTAGAAAGGGACTAAAGTTATTTAAAAACTAGGTACAAGTTAAAACTTTTTTTAAAAATGGGTATAAGTTAAATGGGGGAGACCAAATAGGGTGCCCCGTGTAATTTTTACCTTTGTAATAACCAAATGAAAAATAAGTGGAAACTAATAAGAAGTTAGAAGTGCATCTGTAATTCTGTGCAGTAGTGATAGAATTTATTTTTTTTCATAACAGAATTTTACCAGCTATATAATACAATTGTTTAATCAATACTTTCCAGAAAATATGCATGAAAATTGAGACAGTGCAAACACAATTCCAAGATAGAACCAAAGAAGACATCAACACAACATCTCAAGATAGAACTAGAGAAAGAGATCTATGATAATGGCCAGAACTGGAAATAATTTGTAGATCTTAGATGGTATTGATTTGAAACCGTTTAGTATTGACTGAATGGTTGTTCAAAAAATTTCTATTTGGCTTAACCAATAAACCACCCGATAACCACCCGATAATCGTTAATCCGATACCAATCCGTCCGTTGTCTTATTGGATTGCTAGCGGATTACTACATTTATAATCCGATAACCGATAATATGAAGTTTATGGTCCGACCCCTAACCACAGCTCGTGCACAAAGTGGGTGAGACTAGACGTCAATATGAAGTTTCCATAGAATACAGATCGCTTTGGTGAAAGCAAGCAGATTGACAACAACCGGTCTTGCAATTTAGCAATGTCACTCTATCTGGCAAAAAAAGAGAAGCATTGATGTAACTGGTAAAACTGTTATCATGAAACCAGGAGGCCACATGTTCGAGCCGTAGAATCAGCCTCTTGCAAAAATGCAGAGTGAGGTTGCATACAATAAACCTTTATGGTCCGACCCTTTCCCGGACACCGCAAATAGCAGGAGCTTAGTGCACAGGGCTGCCCTTTCTTTTTTTTTTTACTCTATCTGGCGAAACGGGCTTAAAAGTTGGGCTTGCTGAAAGTGATCAAATTGCTCTTTCTAATTTGTTATTTAAGACACTCGAGCCTTCATCCTCACCAACAGGCAACAGCAAGAACCATACGTCCACCTGAACTTGCTGCCAAAAACAGACCTTAACTCCCAAGTCCAAAACTAATTTCCTTCTAAACTTTTATTAAGGAGTATCCTATTCCTAATGGACTGCAACACATTGGATCATCTGAAATTCAGAAACAGAGTAGTTAATGCAGAGAAACAAACACTCCAACTTCCCAAAAAGAATATAAGTTAGAAAGGCTTCCATACATGATAGATCCTGTAATACTAGTGTCCTCACAGTTAACCTTGCTCATAAATTTTAATGGAAATTAGTGACCGAGCGAAAAGAGAAGCAGCAATAAAATGAATAAAATACAAACATAAAACATGAACACTACAAATTAAAAAAAGGCATTTGCAGGACAAAAATAGAGAGAGTAAAACAAAATAGAAAAGAGCAAGATGATATATCATCTTTCATTGGTGCATATCAACTTCAGCATTATTACAGGCGTAATGCAGGAAGAAAGTGTCAAGAGATGAAAACCTAAATGGTCGAGAGCTGAGACCGTCATTTGGGCTGAAGGGGTCGAAAGATGGAAAATCAAAATCTTTCCTGTTTCTTGAATATAGTATGTACAAATAGACAGAAATTAACGGCAGTGCTAAGTTGGCAAGGGCAAGAAACAATACATGCTTTGAGGGATGGAAAACAGTAGTTTTTATATAAGTCATTAAACTTGAGGTATAGAATGAAAGACACATATGATTCTGACAGTTTCCTGGAGCTACTGGATTCAATGCACGTGTAACAGGCAGCACCCAAATGTGTTACGTTAAAGAAGTTACTTACAATAAATAAATAAATAAACCAACACATAATGACTGTCCAAGAGGTAGGTCCTGAAAAATTTCAACACTAATCCTTCTTCGTATCGTTGATGCAATCAGTCCTGTTTTCTTAAACTGCATGTCAGAGGAACTGCACAAGTACCTTGTCACAGGTCCAAATAATCTGATAATTTATCAACTAGAAAATCCAATGTGACGTGAAAAGTCACACATCAGTTGCAAGTATACTTCCAGCAAAACAAAGTACTTTTTTCCACAGGGCAATCATACACAGTAAAATGAAATAAGAATTTCAATACATTGCGTCAAATCATGTAAGTCAATCTTGCACCATCCAACTAGCAGTAAGCAGCAGCATTATTCATAGACAGAAATCTTTAGCCTTATTAATAAGAGGCATTAGCAGGAAAAAGATTTTTAGATGACGAGGAGGAGGCAGATGAAAGAACCTAAGTATATGAAGACAATCTCTCTCTTTCTTCCATCGTTCTTCTTTTTTTGGGTACGATTAGGAGTGGCAAACTGGCGGGTCGGGTCGGATATGGTTCGGGTCACAATCGGGTAATAAAAACGGATCAAATATCCGACCCGGCCCATATTTAATACGGATAAAAAACAGGTTAACCGGCGGATAATATGGGTTACCTATATTATCCATGACTTCTTGTATGTGATCACTTTTGGGAGAATTCTTAGTCTCCCTAACTTGAGGAACCCCCAATTTGAGGCTTCACAAATGTAAAAGTTAGACTCATTGGTTATCCATTGGTTACTCATTGGTTATCCATTTTCTAAATGGATAATATGGTTCTTATCCATATTTGACCCGTTTTTAAAAAGTTCATTATCCAACCCATTTTTTAGTGTATAATATGGGTGGTTAACTGTTTTCTTTGAACCATTTTGCCACCCCCAGGTACGATACATGAAGATGGTCTTTTCTATTCATGAAATGGTAACCAAGTTGGGAAAAAGGGGAGAGGGTCTATCAAAGAAACCAACCAGTACATAAAGAACCAAGGAAAGAACTATCATATAGAGTAAAATTGAATTTACAAGGCCAAACAGTTGAGAGAACAAGATCACTCTGCTAAACAAAAAGTGACAAAACTAACTTAAAAAGACTTATCCACATCATCCCCTCGACTAATTTTTTTTCCTTTTTGATAAGGTACCATTCCCTCCACTAATATGGTCAATAAGTACCAAAATCTATATAAATTTAAGATGTCTTCACCTTCCACTACAACAAATTATGATTGGAATACAATGACACAATCAGAGGAAAGAACTATCCAACAAGTTACAAATATATATACATGAGTAAACACCAAAATGGTAGCACCTTACCTCCTAGATCAACGGAAGTAATGCACCAGATAGCAACACAAGGGAAGGTGTTCTCACCAAAGCTTTGGCACTAGGTCATCAGTCTTGAAAGCCTTAAATAAAAGTACAGCAATTCACTTTGGTAAGCAACACATAACGCATGATGAAAATACAATCTATCAGCAAAGCTTGGCAATTAGTTAACAAAGAAGGAAGATACGCAATAAAAACAGGATATTCAGCAGTTATAATAGTTTTAGCACAATCTTAAACAATTATGCACATCCAAAAACCATATAGAAATGGTCAAAATCTGGATAGTGGAATATGTTTAGAAGTATATATACACTTATAATGTGAGGGAGATGGAGTATGTTTACAAGTATAAATACATTTATAATGTGAGGGAGAGTTGACAATGGAGAAATGTATAAATTAACGCTGTGACTCATTTTATCCAAGTTCGTTAAGGTAAAGGATGGGTTACCTGTCGGCCTCCTATGCAAACATTCTCAGGCTGACCGATCAGTGCTTGGCTGGTGACAATCCTCCTAGCACCCGTTAAGGAAGAAGCAACTGTTTTGACAGGCGAGTATGCTCAAGGTACTTACCAGTATGCGTCTGCAACTAAAACATGAAAATCAAGAAGTTAAATGTTATACATAAAATTACAGTAGTCCATCATTCATAAGATGCAGACAGTTAATGAAGGATTAGCAAGACCAAAAGACTGAACTGCCGGGTACCAGATTCTTATGCTTATATACAAGCATTAGGAAAACATAACTAGTAACCAGGGAGAAAGAGTCAAAAATGCATTATATTGGGAAAAAGGAACTGGATCATTACAAAAGATGACTAAACAAAATTGCCCTTGCGATCTTTGCTAATTTGCTTACAAGGAAACATTGTCCGAATTTAAACAAGTGAGGATTTTCTAGCATTCCCTTCAAATAAGTATACAAAAAATGGCCATAATTACAAGTGCCAATTGGCTAGAGATCTCTTAAGCCATCACTTCTTGAACAAGCAAAAGAGTATTCTCAACTAAACAGTTAAATAGTCCTTAAGAATGTACAATGAGCAGTCACAGTCAAAACATATTTAGCTCGGAAAGGTCATCCATTGGTATTTCAAGCCCCACACAATCATGATCTTGCAAACCATCAACATCAAAGTTGAACCAAGTATTGAAATCCTGAGGCGCCCCAAGCTCAGATTCTACACCTAGCTCTTCTATTGCATCAATGTCATTCAGTGGCACATTCATGCTGTCAGCAGATTCTTTCTTCTCCCTCGATGAATTAACATCACCCTCTCTTTTTCTGTTACCACTTGTATTGACCAATTCTCCAGAACCATTAGCAGAAGGGTAAACTGGATGTGTCGTGATTTCCATGAATTTGTTAAAAGATCCATTTACGGATGTAGAAAGCTGAGCTGTCTTCTGCTTGGGCTTTGATTTTGTCTTGCGCTCACCCTTGGAGTTCCCCAGTGATCGTCCAGCTNAAGTGACCGTCCAGCTTTTGCATTTGTATTTCTGGATAAAGAGTCCCTATCTCTTTCACTTCTCTTTCCTTTTGCACCACCGAGAAGAGTTCCACCAAGAGTAGAAGTGGCTCTGAAAGCAGCACCAACATCATCAAGCAGTACTTCTTTTTTCTTCCCTCTATTTAATATTGGCCCATTTTTAGCAAAAACTTGATCAGATTGATGATTAAACCTTTCATATGGATCAACCAAAACACCATCAGCACTAACAGGGCATGAGCCTGTGAAACAAGAGAGATGTCAGCTATTGTTAGAACTCTTGTTAGAAACGACGTCAGTAAATACCACCCAGCTGACAAGAACAGAACGTGCAAGAAACAAACTTCAGCTACTAAAGCATGTGAAGATCAAAATACAATTTCACAAAAAAAGGAAAAATAAAAAGCTCTTGTTAAATAAGAACTGAAATATTTGGTTGACCCAGAGCTCAAGGAATCAGAAAATATTGTAACTAGCTCAAAGTTGCTAAAGCATTGTCATCACAGTGTCAGTCCCATATACATGATAATTTAACTCATAGTTAAAAGCTTACTATTACCAACTGCTTCACGAGCCAAAAGATCTGCCTCATTAATACGAGGCGGAGCGGCAAAAATAATGTCATGGAGCACAGGCTCACTAAAGCAACTAGCTCTAGTGTCCTCAAACTTCCGACACCTGGAAAGTGTTCTCTTTGCAAAAGCCAATGCAACCTGCTTTGACACCTTAGGAACCCCATTTTTGGAAGCTAGACTTCCTCGAGTCGCCTGTCAAATTAATCCAAAGTATTAGCAGTTATTAAACTGAATCACAAAGTTGAGTCACGTCCATATGTTGTAGTAAATCAATTATGAAAGCTCTAGTAACTAATATGGTGCACAGCATAAAGACAAATAAATTCCAATTGCCCAAAATCAGGTAGCCATTAACAGATGGCGGGTGAAACTCTACAAAATTAAATTCACTTCAGCCAAGTATCTAGGATTTATGAGTTGCAATGTCGGTATGCTAGCTAATGAACTACCCTTATTTAACTACCATAATGTATATGTAAGATGCCAACATACTTTGCAGGAGATACAGTTTTGTGTAAAAAATTAGCAAAGACAATTAGTAAAGTTTCATCATTTTAATTACAATAAGCCTTACCCAATAGTAAATCTTCTAAATTCTTCAATAGTGGACAACTGTTCCAGCATGTGTTAGTTGGGTTTCTATGGAAAGAAAAGAACACTAGGTGTTTTGAGGACGAAGCAATGACTGCACAGGAGATAAATATAGGTGCTTGTATGTGCTAGTTTTTTGGTGTAAACTCCAGGATGTATATGAGATACACAAAATGATAGATTTTAGCTTGCTTCAGGAATAGGATCTTTGATCTAGAGGCTATCCCCTTTTCTTCTTTTCTTTCCTTTTTCTTTTTTTGGCGAAGGAGACTGCCCACTCTTGTGAATTCATAATCTTGGTGTCCGGTTTTGTTCTATTTATAAAATCTCTTATTTGCTGATCAAAAAAATATCTTCTTTTATAAAGTAAAAGGTTTCATTCAAGAGGCATCAAGTAGATGCTTAGCCAAAATGACAATATAAAGATGTATCTGATCAAAAAAATATCTTAGGAAACTTGTATGGATAGAAAAACTTGATGGATATTTCGATATTACTTACTTTCAGATTCAGATGAAGAATCTATAGTAGAGTTAGGATTCAAACTAGGTAAGAATAGCCCACAAATGCTTTCTTGCAAGGGCCCCTTTGATGTAATTCACATTACTCACAATGTTTCTACTTGCTTTTGAAGATAAATAGAACTCCAGCGAGAGTGAGAGAAACTACCTGCTCTAACTTCTTAATATTTGGATGTCGTTCTAATGAAGCTTCCACAATATTTAAAGTACAGAATTGCAGTTGTTCTAATCTGCTGAAATTATGGATGACTCACTAAAATTCACCATGTTCAACAGCATCATTAGGTTTTAATTGTTACAACAATTGAAGAACCCTTAGTACTAAAACAATATCAGATACAGCTGTTAGCGCAATTTGAATGTTATCTTAATGTTTTTTAAGCCTGAGCATGACCATACATGCTGAGGTAATTTTTCAACAAAATCTAACTGACCAGAAAAAACCTAGACTAGGATCGATTTTTCTTTGATCGGAATCTTATAATTGAACTTTAAAATCTAGTCAATAGACATCAAACCTTAATCAATCAGAAAAACAGTATTGGAATTCCTAAAATATCAGCCGAGTCTTCTTTATTCCTCTTTCAAACATAGATATTAAGAAGAAAAAGCACAATAACTGGAATTGCCTCTAAAAAACTATAATATCTGCTGATGTATATATATCTTTGTATTCTACTTTCTGGAGAAATACTGCATTTGTGTTTCAGATCACGTATTACAAAGTCAGGTTACTTGCAGCAAGCTTCGCGGATTTTAGTTTTCTCCAAATTCTCAGACTGCTCCGCTCGACAACTTATACTCCTTAAAGTATCAAAAGATCATATATAGTTATTACAAGTATCCTTCACAACATCTCACAATGAAAAGCAGCGTGTTTCAGAGTAAAAGACTCGATGCCACAGCAACCTTCTAAGCAAATACAGGACTTTAGAAGAGAGTAGCTACAGTAGCAGGAGAAGATTATAAAAAGGGATGACAAGAACACAAAATAAAAGTTTGGTGAGAATAGCAGGCGCTACAACAAGAAGCACAGTACAAGAAAGCATGATGAACATACAGATAAAAGAATGCAATCCTTACCAAGAGCTTTCTGTAAGCCAGCTCAACAAGTTTATGCATTGCAATCTGCTCCGGGTCCCTGGAAATTCAATTGGATTTGTAAGGCACACATGAATTCACATTGCAGAAACGTGAAGCAAACTTGATGGCATGTAACATCTTACCATCCGTGCACGTCCTTGCCTTCTTGAAGTGCTTTAGATACTTTCTCCATATATGCTTTCTTTTTACCGATCTACAGCAAATAGAACAAAATGAACTACTAAAGTGGTATAGGACATGTACAGAAAGATGTCCAAATAGACGTGAAAGAGACGGTCTTTATTTGAAGCATCTATTCTCAATGTTCTTGAAATTATATTTGCTGGCATATTTAGCAACAATCAAAACAAGGAAAGAGAGGGAAAATGAGCAAATTATTAGGATGCTATGTAGTGACGCAAGATAACCTCTTGACAGAGTCCCCTCTCCAGCTGCATAATTTCTTGGTTGATCACTTCATCTTCTTTATCATCTAAGTCAGGCTGTAACAAGGATGCAAAAGAAAAAGGAATAGGAAAAATTAAATCATATAACATAGATACAAAAGTTAGAAAAAAGCATATAATTTGTCTCAATTTGTGAAAAGTACTGCTCTGACGCCATTCAAAGTGAAAAATGCAAATTAATAAGCATTTAAGAGAAAGAAGGAAAATGACAGGGGAGGACTCTCAAAATTAGAGGCCAAATGAAAGATGAGAAATATCCTTCTTTTACAATGACCACTGGGAGAAAGCATACCACAGGTTCAATATAGAGGCCAACGCTCTGCAGCTCGAGCAAGAGTTTATCATCAAGAGCCATCTCTGCATATTGACGTTCAAATGAGGAAACACCAAAACTACTAATCTGCAACCTTTGTGGTACATCTGGATCACATTCGGAAAGGCCTACAAACAGTCCAACATTTGAATGCAAATATCCATTATCTCCTCGTGACATCTCATCACTGTATGGAGGTCCTCGGACATCAGGGTTTCTACGATATGCACTATATCCATTGCAGGAAACAAACTCATTTCCAGTCCCATTTTTCTTTAGCTGAGAATCAAAATCTGTCCCGTACTCAGCTTCTGTCCTATTCATTTTTCTAGTCTGAGAATTATTGATACAAGCACCATGTAATAAAGTTTCTGGACCATTTTGCGGCGACGTAAATATGTCAAACCCATTTTCTTCACATTCTTCAATATCCTCCTCTAGAATTAGAGCTGACAGTACTCTTTGGTAAAGTGGAGTAACTTTATCAAAAATTCTATCTGAATCAAATTTTGCACTTAGGATAGAATCATGAAATTGATCGACCAGTTGTGTATCAGATGATACTTTCGAGCCATTATGATTCTTGATGCATCTATTCTTCTCAACAGTTTCATCATGATCATCCTGGAAAAGCAAGCATCACGAGATGTATTTAGCTAGAGCATATATGCCAATAACATATGATATATTGTTAAAATGATATCTTAATTTCCAACAGGAAGCAGTAGAATATGAGAATTGGCTAGACCTATCGAACATTTTAATTATATAGATAATCCGTTAGCAGTAAGCATACAAAGAATAACAACAGTTTTGTTAGGAGGTAACACTTGGGAAAGCTCCAGCTAGACAGTGACTGAAGCATGTCAAGTGATAAAGATCAATACAACTCTTAATAGTAAAGATATAAAGGAGCCTATTCTCTAAAAACAAGATTGCTAGAGAGCATCTGCACTGTCGATTGTACCTCTCTTGTTAAAAGGGATAAATAAGAAGTGTATAATCCACTAGGAGAGATTTAAAAACACGTAAATTGTGGAGGACTAAGAGGGGGATAAACTTTCTGTCTGTGCATAGGATTAAAGGAAAGATAAGAATTTGGATTTGAATCAAGTGACAATCACCAGGAATTACTGATAATACTCTTAAATACATTACGAAACTTTGATACAGCAGTGTGCTTCAAGCAACAAATGAAACATCTCGAAGAAACCCTAATAAAAACAAAAATAAAAGATAACCAACCTTGAAAAGATTCAGGTGGTGGCACAGGGACTAATGCTAACATATTAATGAAATTGAAACCCGAATGAGGAAAATCTGAGGAAGCTGAAGGGAAAGAATTTAGTAAAGGGATATAGGCACCCCAGGGCCCTAGCTGGCCCACCAGAATCCAATTCCAATCCCCCAAAAGAAATTAAACACAGATGCTCCCTCCGTTTCAATTTAGATGATGTAGTTTGACTTGGCACAAAGTTTAAGGGAAAAAAGAAGACTTTTGAAACATGTGGTCCTAAAAGCTTAAAGGGCAAAAGCTTTGTAGGGCCATGACATTTTTGTGGCTATAAAAGCTTCTCATTAAGGATAAAGTGGGTAAAATTAAATGTTTAAAATTAAATTGTTTCCAAATATAGAAATGTGTCATTCTTTTCGGAACAGATTAATAAGGAAAGCGTTGTCATTTAAATTGAAACAGAGGGAGTAATTCTTATCCCAGTTATGGCATAAACTATCCACCAACCAAATTACTGCTAAAAAAAAAGTTATGGCGCAAGAAAAAGATAATTATGGATCAGTAAGTACCAGAACACCATTGGTATGGTTTATTGTTTGATAGAGATTGGTATGAGATTCCTCCGCGGATTTCAGCTGATAAAACATCAATGAAAGACTTAGTAAGACCATCTAATATCAGACAAAAGACGATAGCTGTGTGGTACAATGAAAATCATCATTAGTTGTCACCTGTTCTAGAAGGTAGGATTTCTCTTCGGAACTGACAGAAGCAAAAAGTCTATCCACTTTCTTCCAGAATGCACTTGAACAAGCATGAACTAAAACAGCAACCAAAATAAATTAAGTGCCCCAGTATGTTTATTTTTTTCAACAGAAAAGAAGGATACAACAGAGAGAGGGAAAAACTTTGATGTCAGACACATACAACTAGCATTATATGCCAATTTTGCAGCAACTAGAAGCTCCTCACGGTCATCGTCTGATTCCCCTGAAATATGGAAAATGTGATAGCAGGATTATTTGTTTGAGGCAGGGGAAAAACCAGAATCACGTAGATTGTTTACTAATTGCCAGCCGCACCAGGGACAGCACCAAAAATATAACCTACATACCAAACAGTGGAATGCATCTATCACTAGAAAATCACACTAGTTCAGTAGTATCAAAGATACAAGTTTAGCCATTTCTTATTCCTTCACCATCCCCTTCATTTATTTGTCCACAGTCAATACCAGCTTCGTTTTAAACAACTGATAATGTACTGAAAATTGACTTTATATTTCTGAGAACAGAAGGAAATACAAAAATGAATCAGCTACTTCTCCACCTACTTCACCCCCGTCAGGAGGTGGACACACAGAGACTGCTAGAAACTAAAAGGCCAAATCATGCATAAAGACAGAGTTCATTAAAAGACAAATAGAGACTGCTTGAAACTGAAAAGCAAAATCCTGGAGAAGGGCAACCGAGTTCCCTAAGAATTTAAGAAACATACCCCCTATTAACGAAGGAAAAATTTACACTGGAAGACTTAACTTGAGTAAGCAAATGGGTAATTTACCTGGCTACTAGCAAAGGAGGCGGTTTTAACCCAGGATAATCTCATAAAAAGGGGAATATCTCTGTGTTCAAGATGTTTTCTGTGTGGGGAAAATGCAGAAACTGTCAACCATTTGTTTCTGCATTGCAAGATTACAAACCAACTATGGAAAATCTTTATTAGTCTTAGGGGTATTTCATGGTCAATGCCATACAGGATTAAAGATGTCATTTATAGTTGGGAAGAAGCTGGAGCTGAAGCAACTAGCAGAGATAGATGGAGGACTGTTCCGGCTTGTATTTGGTGGACAGTCTGGAGGGAAAGGAACACTAGATGTTTTGAAGACAGAAGCAATCCACTGCAGAAGATCAAACTCAATTGTATTCTTCTATTTTGTTTTTGGTGCAAACAGATGTACACAGAAGATACATTGACAATCATAGACATACTAGGATCCTGCTAGGTTTTAAATTAGAATATCTTCAAATTCTCTCTATGTAAATTTGGTTTTCAGTGCAACCTATGTACTGATTTTTATAATATATACAATAGTTACCAATTCAAAAAAAAATGGGTAATTTACCAGTGAAATCCGGAGAACCACTGCTCAATGAATTCCCAAGACGAGAGAACCCTTTGCGTTCCAAGTGCTTTTTCAAAGGACGGCCTGACTTACTGCCACAATCAAATAAATATATAAGTTGATGGAGAAAGAGAAGCAGTAAAAGCCCAAACTCATACATCAAACTTCTTCATTAAAAGACGAGCACCTTCCGTGCTTTTCTGAAGCTGGCCGTGAGTTACGAAGTGGTTTCGCTGTGACTTGATTTTCAAACTTCTCCCTTTTAGGAGAAATGCTGCTCCTAGAAAATGCCGAGCCTCTTCCACTTCGGCCTTGCCTTCGCACGCCATCACCTATTTCTTCTTTGACAAGAAATTTGTTCTTCTTCATATGTGAGGTAGAGATCCCATTACTCTGAACAGTATTTACAATTTTTTCTTCACCTTCACAAGTACTCCCACCCTTTTCTTTTAATCTGTCTTCACCAGCACCAGATTCTTCACTTTCAGAGAGTCTGGCAGGGGATAAAATACTTTCAGCTTTAACTTTAAGGTTTTGCGTAACATTGTTGGCAGCCTTTGAAAGAATAGAACCACTTGTTACACCAGGAGTTAACCTAGCTCCAAAATCAGAAGGTGAACATGCCTCGGATGGCACCTCCACCTCGTCCTGGTTTGAAACTGGTGAGATAAGATTAGCCCTCCTTGTACGAGATATTTTTTGAGGCCTCTGACCAATCCATTGGGTTATGGGCGGAGACGAGGATCCTGTAGGCAACGGACGCTTGCGATTTGTAGCCCCGCCTACAGCCAGATTTTTGTTGACATTTGGGGGCTGTTCCCAGCTTTCCGATGTTCCAGGTAAACGGGGAATGTTAGACGGTGAACTAGCAGCAGCAAGGGAGCCACTTCGTGGTGCCCTTGAGGCCTTCCCTTTTGTTATTGGACTGGGACAGACAGCATGGTTCTCCTCACGACTATTTAACCTAGAGAAAGAAAACCACATAGTAAGAAATCAGTTTGAGAACAACCACTAGGAGATAAAAACTAATTAATCATGCGCCAAGACATACTTAATGCTGCCTTTTGCCAACACCCGTTCTTTATTCAGACCAGCAGTTGGATCCTTAGAATGAGCAGCCTTGTCCTGTTCATTTTTAAGCATTGAACGAGCATTAGGACCAGCAGGTGATGAGCCATCTGACTTATTACTGCTACCAGCACCGCTTGATATTCCCGGCCTGTGCAGAAGTGTTAGTGAGTACAACATAGATAGTTATTCATCTTGAGTATGTGCTAGGTAACAAAGTCAGTACAAAAATGAAAACAACAACAACAACCCAGTAAAATCCCACTAGTGGAATCTGGGGAGGGTTGTGTGTACGCAGACCTTACCCCTACCCCAAAGGAGTAGAGAGACTGTTTCCGAAAGACCCTCGGCTCAAGAAAACAGAAAGACAAAAGGGAGACAATATTAGTATCACCACATAAATCATAGGAAAAATAGGAACAACATTAAATTCAGAAGAAAGATGCAAAGCAAAAGCGATAGGTAGTAAATAGGTCATGCATTGAAAAGCGTAATAGTAAGACACAATATTGCCAATAGCTATCTTAGACAAAAATCCTACCAGACTAGTCTCATAGAGGTACGAAGTAAGGCAAGACTCAACTACCTCCTAACCTACAACCCTAATACTCGACCTCCACATTTTCCTATCAAGTGTCATGTCCTCGGAAATCTGAAGCCTTGCCATATCCTGCCTGATCACCTCTCCCCAATACTTCTTAAAAGTAGAATGTTCAAAGACCATAGTAGCCAAACATGCATGACAAAGCATCAAATTATGTATCCCACTTTCAATTTAGTTCCTTACTTCAACCTACAAAAATAAAGCCAAATGTGATTCCTCTTGCAATCTTCTCATTTGGGCATGAAAAACAACTATATTTTTGTAAGGGGCATGAAAAGCACTATTCCCACAAAGAAGCAGCAACCGCAATGAATGAAGAGATTGATGACCCAGGAAATGAGTGATTCTTATTTGAGTGACTTCTAGCTAGAATTGCGTCGATTAAACACTAGAGGTTGGTAGAATAAGTAGGCCTACCAGCGAAGAACTGGTACTTGATGGGATGAGGGGTCTAGAAAGCAATGAACCAAAGAACAAACTCAACTTAATATATATATTAGGCCACTAGCTCCCCACTGGTTATTTTCCTAAGTGATTCTACACATTCCAACTAAAACAAGATGCTTAATGTTTAAGCTGCTGCCCAAGAAGAGTACAGCATTTTGACGAAGTAAAATACTTGCCCGCTATATCTTTACAACACAATGCAAAGTAAATCCTTTACCTTCATAAACCTATCTAGACCTGGATAACACAGAATAGAAATGTCCTAATACTTCCTCAAAGTCAAAATGTCAAATTTGCAATATGCTGTACTAAAGCCGTCATCTGCAAACATTTCTAGTCTTGTACAACTGAGTGCAAAACATAGCATCAGTTCGCCCAAATTTACATCAATGTGTTAACTCAACAAGTTCAGAGCATTTAAACCACTCTTATCCTTCATCTTAGATGGCAAATAGTGCAACTAAACATTCTTATATAAAACTGAATGAAATCAACATGAAAGTGATGATATGGGGGATAATTCCCAGAAATTCTGAACAGGATAGTAATTACCTGAAACCATGGGAATCAGAAGGTGACAGAACAGGATCGCTGGTAAGTCTATGATGCAGCATTCGTTTAGGCTCTCCATCGTTGTCCGAGGGCCTAGAAATGACAGC